GAAAGCATCTGGATACAGAATCTCGGGGACATGTGGGAGTATGCCCTCCCAATGGGGGTTACAGTCCTTCCCCGGCTGTACGAAATAAAAACTAAAAAAAAATAAAAAAAATGAGAACAGAGATTAAGAGATTATGGGCTGTCCCCTAGCCGGTATCGCCCACCTGCAGGTCAGGAGCAGCCCCCTATCTCGTGAACACGGTTCTGGCTGCTACGGGTTCTCCGTAATGCCTACAATTAGGAGTAGTGGTAGGTAGGTAGTGTGAGGTGAAATTGAGAGAAGAAAATAGCTTTTTTTTCAAAAAATAAAATAAAAAATTCATGATACAAGGAATCTTACTCCAGAATTAAGGAATCTTACTCCAGAATTAATCCTGATCGTTGTTAAGGTATAGCCCACCTGCAGGTCGGGAGCAGCCCCCGCATGTTCTCTCTTGAACACAGTTCTGGCTGCTACGGGGTTCCGTGTATGCCTACAATTAGGAGTAGGCAACGCGACAGGCTGGAGAGGCCAAAGAGCGAGCGATAACAGCGAAGCTGACACAACTGCTGGTGGTGGGGGATATGTCAACATTCAATTCATTTTCAGCACACGCAACAGTTCCATCAGCATTGACAGAGGATCACACGAAGGCATCAACAGCAAATGCATTGAGTTCATCATCAACAACAACGGCAATTTCTTCATCCATATTAACTGAGGTTATGACGAGGACATCTTCAGCATCAACAATCGATTCTGTGACAACAACAACAACGGATACTTCTCCATCCTTATCAACAGCACTCATGACGAAGACATCTTCAGCATCACCGCTCCATCAAATAACAACAACGGGGCTATTAACGAAGATATCTGGAATACAACATTCCACAACATCCAAATTGCTCACATCGCTTGATACAATCATCATGCCGCCGATATCTCTCCCTGTGACAGCTACTATGGTAAGTATGACCCAGTCTCTTTCAGTTCTCTCTTTGTGGGAGACTCAGCTTGGGCTGGAGGGTGGCCTGCTAGGGCCGAAGGTTAGCCGAGGGTTTGTTGTGAATGGGAGGATGCTGACCTGGCGATGTGCCGTGGGGTGGTGAGCTGATGAGCAGTTTCCGTGGGATTCGGGGGGAGGAAGACAGGCTATTCGTTCTCTCTCCCCCTTTCCCTCCCGCCTCTGATGTGTTTGATTCCTCTTCTACTTTGGGTCATGTTCACTTAGGGTTTGTGACTGGGATCTGGGATCCCCTCGATTGATTTGCCCTGCTGTATCTTCCCCCGAAATCTTGTTTTCTAGGGATTGATCATTACTGGTTTGGTACTGAAGGGCAGAGGTAGGTTGTCCAGGGGGCTGAGTTAATCCTTCCCTCCTGGGGAAGCAATCAATGCTCAGTTCCCAATCTTCGTTCTCCATTCTTGTCGTACAGGGAACCTGTCTCTATGGGGAGCAGTGGCCGTGGCTCTTCCAGGCCTCATGGGCAGAGGCGTGTGTCTGCCATGTATTCAAATTTCTAATAAGAGCCTTGGGCACTGGGCCCTGATTTCCAAAAAAAAAAAAAAAGGAGTAGTGGTAGGTAAGTAGTGTGAGGTGAAATTGAGAGAAGAAAATAGCTTTTATTTTCAAAAAATAAAATGATACAAGGAATCTTACTCCATAATTAATCCTGATCGTTGTAAAGGTATCGCCCACCTGCAGGTCGGGAGCAGCCCCCGCATGTTCTCTCGTGTTCTGGCTGCTACAGGGTTCCCTGTACGCCAACAATTAGGAGTAGTGGTAGGTAGGTAGTGTGAGGTGAAATTGAAAGAAGAAAGTTGGTTTTTCTTTTCAAAAAATAAAATAAAAAATTCATGATGAAAGGAATCTTACTCCAGAATTAGGGGCTCGTTCGACACTCCTCGGGCCGTCCTCGGGCCCCGAGGACGATTCCTTGGAGTCGCCCGAGGAAATTCCCGCCTTCGTTCCACTCATCCTCGGAGTCGTCCCCCGAGGACGATTCCTCGGGGCTCTCGCGGCCAGATTTATATATCCACAAGCGGACGGGGGGGGGCGGGTGAGGGTGGTCCAGCGAGTTGTGTCCGTGCGGACGGCGTTGGTCCACCTCTGTTGGCCGTCGCGAATTCGAATCACGGCGGGAAACCCAAAAAAAAAAAAGAATACAAAAAAGGGGCCATTGGAAATGGCGCGCACGGCCACAGTTCAAAATTCGAAATTCGAAATCTTGCTCTGCGATTGGTGGCGCACAATGGACGCACGTTTCACACCCGATTGCATCAGCGTCTGGTGTTCGGGGCGTTCCCATAAGTGACGGTGGTGGCCGGCGGTTGTCGTCGAAGAGTACGCAGGTCTACGCTTGCACAGAACCAGAGACGACATCGAATTCTCACCATCGTCGCACACTACCGTCGTCAGTGCGTGGCGTCCAAGGTTGTCTGCAGAGGCAGCGCTGTGTTCTTCCACGTGGCGGCGTTTGTGCAGTCGTGTGTTGTTATTGACGTGATGTCCTTGGAAGCGGTGTCGGGGATGGATATTGATGGCGAGGCCGGGCGTGACGGTCTGACGACGGCAGAGAGGACGCCTGTCACTGCGGCGGTGAATGTCGTCCTTTTCCGTTGCCAAATGGTGAGCAGCGAGGGGAAGTTCAAAGCGGCCATTCATGCACGCCGCAAGCTGTCGACGCTGCCGACGAGTGGCCAGTGCTTGGACGTCGGTGCCATTTCCGACGCGGTGCTGCAGGTCTGCTACGTGATGGGGTGCGGCGCGTTTCCACGGGCGGCTCCAAGGTGGTGGATGAAGCGGCGGACGGGAGGTACGTGGGAGGATCTGCGGCAATGTGATGACGCGACAGATGACTACTTCAAGTACAAGCTTCGAATGTCGCCTCGTGTTTTCCGCGAGATCGCGGAGACTCTTTCCCCACTCCGGCAACGCCGTGTGACGTTCTACAGGGTGCCCTTGCAGCCGGACCACATCATCGCCTACGCTCTGTATAGGTGGGCAACGGGGGAGACATACGACATCAGGACGTGTAGCTTCGACATTGGCAGGTCTTCCAGCATCACGGCGGTGCGGGACGTCACTGCGGCATTGCTTACTGCGTACCCAGATAAGATATCCTGGCCCACAGGTTTGCAGAAGGCGGTCGTCTTGCGCGCGTTCGCAGACAAGGGTTTTCCAAACTGCCATGGGTGCATCGACTGCACCCACATCTACATCGACAAACCCGCCAACGCCAACGGGGAGGACTACTGCGACAGGAAACGTCGATTCTCCATGCAGGCGCAGGTGGTCGTCGACATGAAATTGCGTGTGCTGGACGTCTTCGTCGGTTACCCGGGCAGTGTGCATGACATGAGGATGCTAAACCTGTCCAGTTTGTGGGCGCGCGTAGAGGAAGGACAACTTTTCACTGGGCCGCCTGTGATGCTGCCTTTCGGAGTGCGGACTAATGGCTACTTGGTCGGCGATAACAGTTATCCCCAGTCCGAATGGATAGTCGTCCCTTACGGTGGTCTCGCGTAGCACCCGTCGGAGGCACGCTTCGACAACAAACAGAAGACAGCTAGGGGAGCAGTGGAGAGGGCGTTTGGCAGACTGAAGGGGATGTGGAGGTTGTTCCTCCGCACCGACAAGTGCAACATGGAGACCTTGCCGCAGCAATTTGTCGCCGTCTGCATCCTCCACAACATACTCATCGACGTAGGCATCCCGTTTGACGACAATCTGTTGTGGGAGGTGGGTCCGGGCGGCATGCGTCGTAGAGTCAATCTTGGGATGCATCAGCCACTGAGGCCGGTGTGCATGGAGTCATCAACGGGGGATGCGCTGATATTGAGGGACGCGCTGGCCGAGCGGATGAGTGCCCAGTGAGGATGGCCGTGCGTGCAGGTGGAGACCCCAATATGACCGTAATGAGGCGGAAGAACGGAGCTTTGTGAAACGGGGAAGCATCGAAGGGATCTTGCGGCGGGAAGGGGAGGTCCGCTTCCCACATCCACTGGCGGTGCCGTATCTTGACGATGATGATGCCGTCAAGTCTATTGTCGTCGGGATATGCTGTATTGTTGTCGTCAGGCGCAGTCTGCATCATCCGGGTATAATCCACGTCGCCGTCCTTTAGGGAGTCATATTCCGTTTTGTTGCGCAGTAGTCGACCCGTGTTACCCGTGGTAGCGTCGTTGTTGCGAGAAGTGCATGACGGGTCTCTCGCGGGAAGTGCGTGTAGGTGTCTTCGTGTGTGCGGTGACAAGTTCTGTTTTTCAGGGCTCGTTTTATTTTTTTGTTTTACTTGTTCTATTCCCAACACTGCGCGCGGTTACACGCAGTGTTGGGTGCGGTAGTTTAATCCCTGGTTGTGGATGTCGTCGTTGGTGGAGTCCGCATGGCACGGTTGGACGTGCCATTCGGCGAGATACTGATTGTGATGACGGTGCACAATGGGTACGGTTATGTCGATCGGGGGGGGGTTCGGGGCGGGGGGGGGGGGGGGGGGGGGGGGATCATCCATCTGGTTGCGAAATGGAAATGCGTTTGCCTTAAAAGGCTTTTCCCCTTTTGACAACAGAGTGTCCTTTGCTTATATTGGTGTGCGCAGAATTGCGTTCCTTCATCTTTTCTTTCATTTCTGTGTTCGCGGGAACTCAGATTGCATGCATTTGCAATGGTGCGCCATGGTTGTTTTGTCCGTGGTTTGGAAGAATGTCTATCACTTTGTCTGCATCGACGTTTGCCATTCCCATTTTTTTGCATTTCCAATCCCCGCTGACATTACAATCAGTTCCTGGAATGATGGAAAGGAAGACGAATGCATGGATTGGATGTTTGATAACTAGAAAGATGAAAACATAGTTGGATGCATCACTTTCTCGCCATCAACAATCAGCATTCAATATGAGAACAAACCAACCCGGCCTCACATACGCTTTATAAAAATTGAAGGATCGATTGAAAACAAAAACAACGCATGGTTGTGAAGATCATCAAGATCAGTAATCGGAAGGACGTTCGGTTTACCAGCATTGCACATTTGTTTGTCCGGTCGATAGACAAAACATTAACATGGCAAGACCCAATAAACGAAAAGAAAAAAAAAAAATCGCCGAGGACTACACAATAATACACAACAATGGTTGAACGACAACCGGGCCCACAAAAATGAAGCTGCCGCCGCCCATGATACTTGCCTGCTCATCTACTCCGGCCCCAAACACAACCACCCACGCTGCCACAAGCCCCCGTCTCCCCCATAAGCCCTTTCAGTACCCACCCCATGGCCCGCATAAAAGCCCCTAACCCCAACCCCCCCCCTTCCCGCAATCCCCCTTCCTCCTCTACCTACGATCTGGACAGGTCGTGGCGAAATAGAGAACGTTCGCGAATCGTCACCCCACGGCCGAGCACGCAAAGTATTTACACTTTCTGCTTGGCGTGGAGTGACTGCTTGCATTTGCTGCCGTCGTCAAAGAAGTGACGGTGTCATCCCCTTCCCTCTCGCGATGTTATGCGCATCACCCCCCCTGGCCTTTGTCAGCACCGTCGTCGTCCTCACCCTTGTCCTTGGGGGGGCCTGTCCCCAGCCAATCCAACCTTTTCGCCTCCATCGAGGAGGCCAACGTCGCGTCGTGCGAGAAAGTGACTCCGCACTTTGACACCCAATCAAGGATGTAGACAGGTGGGGGGGCCAAGGTCGGAGGCGGTCTCCCCAACTTGTCCGTCATGACTTGCGCGACTTGCATGATGTGGCAGCGGGCGTCGAATTGACGGTTCATGGACGCAAGCAGCGTCGTCTTCGCAGAGAGTTGCACGAAAACCCAAGCGTCGTAATGAGATCTTGGATCGTCCCCTGCCATTCGCATTATCCACATTGTTGCGGGCAGCAAGTACCTCATCGCCTCTGCCATGGCCTTCAGACGCTCGTACGATACACGACCGCCGTCCATCGCTTCGACCGTGCCCACTACGCTCGTAAAATCCCGCACCAGACGCTGAACACAAGCTTCCTGGTAAGCCGCGCACTCGTCGTCCTCATGCCTGTCCACTATGTTCGCGCCAACAAACCACAAAGGCAACTTCATATCCACGTCCAGAGTGGTGCGGAATAACATCGGGCTGACCGAAATGCGCCAGTCCTCTGCTGACCACATCACTCTAGCGATGGCAGTGGCTGCATGATTCAAGGCGTACTGGTACGCCAAGTGATACCCCCTTTGTCTACTCTCGGACTTGAAGACCCAACCGTGGATCGCCCTCAGCGAGACTGTCTACACCTTCAACGCCCTCTCTTTCGCCGCATTGAACTCCGATTCATCCTCGATTTTGTGCTGGGGGATGGTGTTGTGTGGAAGGGAGATGCTCCGTCGAATAGCCGGAGGCTGCACTTCCCGCGCCACTGCCACGAGATACGCGCTCGCTTCTTGGATGATCTTCACTATGGCGCTCCCCTGCATCTCGTTCCAGAATCGTGTGTCGTCCTTCCAAAGTTTGGTGGTAGCATCCATAGCATGTGACACCGCACGTGTCCCGCGCAGCCTGTGCAACAGAGCCTCGTCGTCTTCCCCAACCACCCTGCCATCCCCTGCCTTCGGAACTTCCCCCGCCTCCCCCACCGTCGTGACAGCGCCTCCGCGCGGCACCACCGACGCCCCACCTTGGACCGCCGGTTGGGAACTACCCGCCACGTCTACAGGCGGGGTATTGAGGCATTTCGAGGGCGTTTGCATGCGTTGCGCAGATTCATGCACGGCGGCCCGTTCCTTCACACGCCCCTTGATCTCCCTCCTTGGCTCATCGCGTTCAACGTCGATAAAGTCAGGGTGTCCACCTGCGACACCCCCACCGTCGTGCCGTGCGGAAGGTGTCCCGTCCCCCCCCTCGTTGATTCTTATCCCTCCCGTGGAACTTGCCCTTGGCTTCCTCTTTAGCGATTGTTCCTCTTCCTCTTCGAAGTCGTCGTCCTCGTTCATCATCTCCTCCTCCTCCACCACCTCGTCGTTAAAGTCTCGCGCACTACCTACGCCCCCGCCTTGGACGACCTTCCTCTGCTTCTTCACTTGATGGCTTCCCTTTTTCGCGGGAGCTGTGACCTCCATGACCTGGTTCAAGGCACCCTTCCCCCATCCACGTCCACGGAACGACATGGCGGTTCCCACAAACGCGCCTCCGATGACACTCGCTAAACTTCTGGGCACGAAGACCGCGGGGTGGCGAAAAGGAAAGATGGCGAGATGAGTACAAAGCGGCGAGAAGGAACGATGGCGCGATGACTAGGGGGCGGCGGAGGAGTGCAGTGCGGCGAGAAGGAAAGATGGCGCGAAGACTACAGGTTGCCGAGGCGGAAAGATGTCTAGTACGGCCGCAGATCTGTGTGAGCACAGGGCGGCGACGAGGAATGACGGCGAGACGATGCAGGGCCCCGAAAATGGCAGACGATGAGTCCGACTAGACGGCGAGGTGGTCGACGATGAGAGCATCCGTGAATCAATGTCCGCGCGGTGGGACCAGGCGAGAAGACAGCAGTGCCTGAAAGTTGAGGACGAGATGGCGAGAATGAAGTCGTCTGCAGTGTTGACACCCCGTGCGCACATCGTAAATGCGTATCGGGGTCTGCAGTGTTGACACCCCGTGCGCACATCGTAAATGCGTATCGGGAGGACTGCGGCCTGCTTATGTGCTAATGTGCGCGGAGGACGGTGGCGTGGAGTGATGGCGACCCGCCCTTTGGACGACAGTGCTACAAGTTTTCCATCCAAACGACGGTGGCGTACAGGTCACCGTCGATGGGGATTGGGAGGGCGATGTGACACCCTCCTTCCATGCAGGCTTCGAAAACGGACATCCCCACGGACAGACGAAAGGAAGCCTGCCCCCCATCCGATTCCAACCCCCCCCCCCCCCCCCTCCCCACGCGACTGCGTAGTCATGATCTTGGTGGGGCCGCGCGCCCCCCAGCTTTGGGAACAGAGAGGCCCCCTCCTGCCCTTTGTGCCCCCCCCCCCCCCCCCCCAAGTTTTAGCAAATGAGAAGAAAGGGAATTTGAATGTACCCAACCCCAGAACCCCTTCAGATCCACATCGTCGCTGGCATCGAATGACCCACCATGCACTCACCGTCGTGCTCAGCCTGTCTCTTATACACATCTAGATGTGTATAAGAGACAGGCTATAGAGCCCGCCCCCGAGTCTGGGGGCATGCATAGATGAGTGAATTCTCTGTTGTGGCACGCTGGACCCGGTTTGAGCAGGTGCAGCTCCCC